ACTAGACAGCTTTTGGTAGAACTCATCCTTCGTTTCATCTGAACTGCAGTCAGTGGGGGCGTAGGCGGAGATTACGAAAAGGCATCGGCGAGTAGTGCAGTCCTTCCTCCTTCTTACTGATCCGTTCAGGCGGACAGCACACATTCGGCTATCTACCGGGATCCAGTCAAGCAATGTCTTTTCTGCCCTAGTACTCAAAGCTATCCCTACGCCAGCTAATCCTCGTGAACTAGCTGTGGCATCTCCTGACACCCTCAAGGTGAATTTTGCAGATTCAACCTGTTGGCCAGGTGGGGTTAGGTGAATAACCACACTTGGGTCTTGTATGCGTGTTTCTGAAACACAGCATACATCAATGGCTCGGGATGCCAGGGTCTTGGCTAAAACTCCCTTTTCGCGGAATACACTCATTTACCTGCACAATTGCAATTATATATAATTGTGTGTGTGTGTACGTAAGACAAGAATAGAAATTAGTTCAGACTACTGTTCACATCAAAATATTTCAAAACATTGATGAGTAATCAAATCTTAACCATGGCGATAGTGGGGTTGGGGTGAAGATTAGTAAGTTTAGACTAATGTTGAGTAATATGATAAAAATCTCGAAAAATTGGATGTTCATGAAAGTAGATAAGTACCGAAATAAATTATGTAGTGGGGAAAGAGGGTTAATAAAAGGTTGGTTAAGAAAATAATGATGTTATACGAAAAATTCAAAATGTAGTGTCAATAATAAAACACAAAAAATGAAGGATAAGGGGACATACCGAACTAGGTTCATGGTAGTTTTAAAGGCTGGACTAGTTTCTTTTGAACATATAGCTCCGGCTTTTCGATGCATATGGCGAGATATCCTTAAAAGGAGAATCTCAAATTCCCTGAAGAAGACTTTTCCGGCAGCAACTCTAAGAGTGATATTCTCAAGCCGTCCACTACTTCGGAGCAATGGGAAGGACAGACTTCCGCAGTTTTTTTGTTTTGTTATCTATGTGTAATTTTCTCTCTTTGCCTTCATTCAATTCATCCTATTTTTCAGTTATAAAATCAGTTATTTTAAGTTTGTTTCCATGCTCCTCCTGATCACACTTGTAATCCGTTTAGAATAACCACTTTACAATTATATTCTAATCTTATGTAATATTTTGCCTCTATGCAATCTTGTCTCTAAGCTCCTTGTAATCTATCATTTAATAATCCCATTGGGTCATATCGTTGACAATGTCACTGAAAGGCACTTGATGTCATGCAACAAATTTGCTAAAGGAATTTTGTCAGATTCTGAGCACCCACTCTACCGCAGCTCCTACCTTGTGTCTCCTCAGGTAAAACAAGAAGTCTTTTTAGAAGAATTTACGTCTAAGTATAAAAATTCCACTATACCATATTTAGCACGTACTTTATGTGATGAAAATGGTGTCAGGCATGAACTAACTAACCTTCTTTGCACTAGTAAATAAACCATTTCTTCCACCCTTACAGTACCAAACTTTATTGTTATTGTATTTCTTATATTTATAATCCTCTCAATTTTTTTGTTTTTATTTATTTATTTTTCATAAGTGTGAACATCGTTTAAGCTGTGTTACCACCGTTAATCTTGTATTTCCCCTCACCGCGCTGCTATATCAACAGAACATTAGATTCAATACTCTATAGTAACACGCTAAAATTTTCAAACCGAATCGACAATACTGTTTGAAACAAACTCACTGTTTGGTTCCCTTGATAAATTTCGATAAAGAAAGGAAGACGAAATTTGCAGTACAAAATGATATCATTCTATTTCACAGGTACTCATCAGCTCCAGACTACCTGAAATTACAATGGTTATATAGATGATAATAACATACTTTAATGTTCAAGTGATGATGAAAACTTAAACTAAAAACATTGTAATGCTTTCATTTAGATACGTCAATTTTATAGTATCTCTTTTCTACCACCACTCGAACATTAAAGTATGTTATTATCATCTATATAACCATTGTAATTTCAGGTAGTCTGGAGCTGATGAGAACCTGTGAAATAGAATGATATCATTTTGTACTGCAAATTTCGTCTTCCTTTCTTTATCGAAACTCACTGTTATTATTATTATTATTAATATTTGATGGTCTCAATTCGTACTTGGAATATTTTTGATTTTATATCGTAAGCGTGAACAAATTCCTCCGGTTACTTTTGTTTTAATTTTATTTATATTTTGAGTTAATCAGATGGAATGTTGTGACAAATGCTGAGAATTCCATTCCGTATTATAAGTACTGATTTTGGAATAAAGTAAAATAAATTATTAAATTATTATTATTGTTCTTTTCAATTTATTAATTCTATCACAGGCTCAAGTGGTATGGAAAGTAATAACTAATTTTGAGTGTTGATCCATCATTTTCAAATGCTTTTACGCAGAGACTGAATCTTTCCAGAATCAATAGATTGAAACTAACAATGGCTTTTTCGCTTTTCCGAATTAATATTTGGCCTTATTAGTCAAAAGATAGAACAATAATGAAGCCACAATTGTATCCTGATATACTGCTTTACGATCAGTTTAGAAAATACTGTGTAGCATATCAAACCATCGGTCAGTTTCCTTCTATGGTCAGAAAAATGATCTCAGTGTCATACTGGAAAAGCTTAATAATTATTCTCCCTTTCAAGCAATTTCATGAAATAAATAGAGGACATATTAGCATCGAAAATGTTTCCTTGCCAAAAGATTGAATAAATCTCCGAGGGAAATCATCTCAGAATATGCAGTGTGCTAACTTAAAAATTTGGATTGTTACCTATTTCGTTAAAAAGGAACTAAATCCATGCAATTTATAAAAGATATGAAGGTGAGACGGTGTAAGGAACAATTCTTTACCTCTTCTAAGAAAACTATTTCCGAATTCCAATTTGATGATGTACTTCGAAAGATCTCTAACAGGTAGCAACTGAATGAAAAGATCTTAAAGGATGAACTACCAAATTTACCTACACCTACCCGCCTTTTTTAGTCTACGTACTCCGAGAATTGACGATTATAGTCCACACAAATTGCGGTCCTTCCACAACTGTTTTCTAGACCAACAAGTAATTCATCCTTTAAACTCCTTGTCTTGCCCTGATCATACAAACTCTCCAAAGTTCACCACCAAGATTTGCGTAGAAGTGAATGGTGGTTATAAAGGAATGCTAATTCGTTATTTTTATTCTAAACGTCATCCAAATATCTGTATTAAGTGTTGGTTTTCATGGATTTGACTGACTACAGGTTTGATCACGGGCTGACAACAGTTAGAGAATCTTTAGAAGAAGGTGCCGACAACCACAACAAGGACAAAACAGAGGACTTTCTGACTGCAAGGCGGGCTCGTAGACTATTAAACCACTAGCACCTGATCCAGTGGCCCATGAATTCCAACTGTTAGCCCATGTCACCTGCAAGTAACTGTTCCCTTACCTGAATTGGTGTAACTCGCAGATTAAGTACTTCTCACTAGAACTCCAAATAACTTCCCGTATACAGCCATTTGCTTGTCAGTAACTGATTAATTATCAAGTGTTGGTTTGCAGGGATTTGGCTGGTCACAGGCAGATTCATTTGCAACAAGAGAATCTCCAGCCATATGAATGAAAATGCTACGTTGAAATCCTTATTCTGTCATAATTTCCCCTGTAACACCTTTAGATGATTTCATCAAGAATCTTTTCCACTACACTGCGTTTCAAGCGGTACATGGGTCTTCAATGTCTGAGTTTCCAGTAGCAGTGGTGTTGTTTATTTCTACGAAGTGAGGTAGATAGCTAGCCTCACGATCAACCATCCTTTTCTTCTGGGCTTACTACCCCACTTAGAAAAGGTTTACAAGTGCACGGCGACGAAATCCTGACCTCCTGCATGGCTGGTGATGTATCAATGATTTGCAGATTTGTATATCTTAGTTATAGCTCCAACTACGAAAAATTCAATGAAAAAAAGGCATTATTCACTGAATTTATTTTATGTTATCTGAGTTTTTTGTGTGAACGCACATAGCCCCCACACGCGGACGATCAGGTACAACACAGAGTGAATGGACTTGGTTATTCCTCTCAAAATGTGCGTCTTATCTCACTATATACTTTCTGACTAATTTGTTAGGGGACTTGTTACAAGTGCCACAGCTTACCCGATGTCTTACTTCCTACTGTAGATTTTCTTTGGTACTATTCAGCTGTTTAATTCTGTCACTTAAATATTTTAATGTTCCTGTTTCCATTGAGATGAGTTAGGATGAACCAAACTCCAAGTATCAGATAGAATGTGAAAACAGGTTTTTCGTAAACACAGTTGTTTAGCTACCTATTTTGCTCCTATTTACGTCTACTGTCGAAATTATTCGCTCTCAAAACCTATTTATATCTTATGTTTCTTACCACTGTGAATGTGTCATTTACATACCTCTGACAGCCCCCACAAACGGCCTGGTAAAGACAAAGACGAGTAGACTTCAGCCTTCTTCTAGAAATTCTCTTATGCTGCTACACTTTCGTAACCTTAAAAAGTTACTTGTATTCACTGGTCTTCACGCAGCAGGTGTATTCCTAAATAAAAGGGAAAAGATGAATGCGAACATCTGGCACTTTCAACCAGACTGGTGATGATGCGTGCTGGTTAACCCTGATTCCATACCCATGGTGTACATAGGCACCAGAATCCGGACTGATGGAACATCATATGAATCTGTTTTGATCACCGTCAACCATAACGCTCATAACACTGCTCCACTGTTTTGTAGAACAGACTTCAAGTCGAGGGTGGCGGATCACCTCTTGAGACAACCATCAGCTTCAGCCTGAGCGTCCGAGCAGTATCTCCTAGACTTTGTACAAACTATGCAATTTTGTGCGGTGCATCTTTTGGTGCTCACAATCCACCAAGTCTGTGTTTTAATAAATAGATAGAAATAACAGCAATAATAAACGAACACACGGAATTACTTTCGACAAAACACTATAGAAAAAGGAGATAAGGAGGAATTATCTTTTTATTGATTTAAGTGCAAAATTTTAGTAATTAAAACATAAAAAGACAGAAGTACAAAAACAGGGTAGAAAATGTGGGTTTTTTTCCTTTTTCTTTTTCTAACTTTTATGTCTGTGTTTATGTTTTGATTTAGAATGTTTTTTATGCTTTTTAGATTTTTTTGGTTTATTATTGTCAACATCATCACAATGACCATTACTATTATTGTAGCGGTAATCCGCACTTGAAGGACTGTATTGACATGTTGGTTGTTGTTTATTATTATCATCATCATCTCGTTTTGGTGAATTGTATCTACGTCTTCGTGCTAGTCGTCTACGAGATTGTTCACTACAGTTATTTGTTTTACCATATCGACTATCGTCAGATGGATGAATTTGTCGGGAAGTAGGAGAAGTTGGTTTATTGTACTTATTAGAACCATGTCTTTGTTTGACAATTTCTTTATTACTTTCAAATGATTCCACACTACTACGAAAGAAAAACACAGATATAGAGAAAAGATAAAATTGCAAAATGATAAAAGTTGAAATTCATGGGCTATTGGATTGTAGCCTAAGAGACTGAATAACAGTCAACAAGCTTAGCTTCTCAACCTGATGTCCTTGGATGTGATCCCTGGCCGTGAGGTTATGGGTGCATTCTGTGAAGAGTCCCAAAAGTAGGACGAAACAGCTGTCCAGTACGACGTAGATGATTTTCCAATGGTTCACTAATTGACATCAATCCGTTAACAAAATTGAAACATATACAAGAGAAAACTTTTGAGGAAAATGTATAGACTAACTAATTTATTGGTGTAATTATGCCCTCTGAAATGGATATGGTTTGTTTGCCGAAGTTTTTATTCCATTTCTATAATAAAAGATTTCTAACGCAGAAGATATTGTTGTTGTTGTGTAGAAAGAAAATGAAAGCTTCGTAATTAGACCATATTCGGCTTGGAAAACACAACTACGCTAACCAATAACATCCACCTATGAAGTACAAATCTCCTCCATCAGAAGAAGAAAGACTTTGTCTTATCTAATACATCACTTTGAAAGATTTTTCTATTGATTCAAAATGATTTGAAGGGGGAAAAAGGCTCAAGAGATGGTGAAATATTGGTTCGTTTAATTTCTGTTTTCGAGAAACACATTGGAAGATGTTCTTATATGCCTCTACTCTAGATAGTATCCTATTAGTACTGGTTATGGCGAATCTCTTTTTTTCTTCTTTTCTCTACTTTCGTGTGCCTACAGTGGAGCGAAGTAGTTTGAACTGTTACACACTTCTGTGCAAAATTTTGTTTTGAAAGTCAGTCTGATAAATCAATTTCCACTAACATCATTCATTGCACATACTTACATAGTGTAACTAGGATACATATATATTCCAACACTTTCTTTTATGTATGATTCACACTGTCTGTCAAAATTCAACAAAATAATATGAATCACAGTAATTAACTTCATGTGAAAAAAAATTTCGTGTACTGAGACAAAGGATATAGCATATATGTACAGTGTGTGTGTGTGAATCTGTTGACTAACCCACATCTTTTATCTTCAGATTGTTGAATGGATCCGTGAGCGGCTGTCAATATTTCAGTTTGTTGTGCTATGATTTCACGTAAAATCTACAATTAAATAAAAAGTGTGCATACAACACAATAATAGAACGATAAATTTTTAACGATACAATTGACCTACTTACTTGTATTATGAGTAGTAAAAGTATACTTGTGGAACATTTAAGACAGTTTATTGTCCAGAAAGAATAAACGCAAACATCAGTTAGTTGAGATACCAAATTGTTGCTGAAAAGGATGTATATCTAGGAAGCTTCCCTGCATTGGTGATCATAGAAACCAGACGGACATTGAGCGTTGTGATCAAAAAGACTTTTTATGCAGCTACGATAATAATAATTAAGAACATAAATCCTGTATACCCGTCTAAGCTGTTAGGGCATGAGATGTCACATCCCACTGTATCTGTCAGTTTCACTGTACGAGTGGTTACATATACATAGAGAGGATTTATTGATCTTTACAAGTAAGCGCCCCAGGACATATCCCTAAATATCTGCCGAGACAGACTGAATCCACGGAAACTAAAAATAGTTAAACATTACAGATACAACGCATAAAATTGATGTTTATACGTTTTTTAAACCTATCTGTAAAATGTGTTTGAAGTGGACCCATGCGTTTGTGGAAGCCCTAGCTACTAAAAAGCTAAAACCTCCTCTGCATGCTTACAAACAATATGTCATCACATTTAGACTTTTTGATAATTTCTTTTGTTTTCATACCAAGATTCATGTACCATTTCCCACCTTTTAATTAATTTGGTTCATTGACCTCCATTATGATTTCAACCTTCGATATAGCCTTTTAACTTCACCCACGCGTCTACTGTCTACTCCCGCCTAACGCTTTCTCTTATTTTTCCATATAAATTCCTATGACAAGTAAGTATTCTGTGTATGTGAGATCAAATTGTTCGAAATGCGCTGCACAAATACATTGCACGTTTCAGATAAATTAACATTCCTTTTTTAAATTGTTTTTTCAAAGATTCATAAAAGGAAGTGAAATGTTTTAACCGAAAAATATAGGCAGAATAAAACAGATAACAACATATACATGCACGGATACATACATAGTCAGCTGTTATCTTATTTGTGATAAACATTCATGTTTGTTTTTTTGAAGCAAAATAGGATGAAGATAAAAGCTATCACGAAGTGTTTTCGCGCAGTGTATAGCGAACAACAAGAATATATATATATATATTCCAGCTGTGTAAAAACACATTGATGAAATACCTTTAAAGCAGCCAGATATAACATCTGATATGATGATTGCAGTATTCCTCTCTCTAAGCATGTAATCAATGCCTCATCACATGAGACCAAGTCTATTTGAGGAAATTCAAATTGTAACTGACCGCCTAAATGCTACGTATTCGAGTATATTGTGAGAAGATGAAAGTGCAGCAAGTTTATTGTATTATAAACTTATATATAATCTCTCAAACTCTTTGTGAAAATTATGCAAATAAACTTAAGTTAACTGGAATCAAGCAAGTACAACAACAATAACAAATGTGCAATAGGATAATATATGAGCTCAGTTATACTGTTATATCATGGATAAGTCTCAAGTGCTTATCAGATGAACAGTAACACAGAGTGAATATAAGATATAAGTCATCTTTAATCTGAACATCACTCACCTTACTCTTTTCTACTACTTTATCAATAATAACTTTTTTTGGTAGTCAAGTTGTGGTGAGGGCTCTGTTAGTCAAAATTGGTGGACAGTAATTTACGTCAGTGTTTATGTCCCCAGTATTGGTCATGAGAAAAATGAAAACAAATGCCTTGCGTAGGCGGATACAGTTAACATATAGATGATCTGACATTCAAGAAACAGCCACAAAGAGGTGCAAGGTTAACTTTCTGTGAGAAACAACCAATCAGAAGACTGTTTTTCTGCTAACAACAATCTATAATAATGTACATGAAAATCTATAAATATGTGTTGATTTTCATAATAAACGATCTGTTGCCTGGCCATTGTCTTCTGTTGTTACAAAGTAACCTATTTTTGTAACTTAGTTTCCATCCGAAATCTTGAACTTTGTCTCCAGTCTTTCATAAATATTCGTCTAATTATCTTTTGAATAGTCAATAAAAGTAACTTAACAAGACACACCAATTTGAAATTATATTAGTTCAAGTCCCTATCAATCCATTGCTTATCAGCGCGTAAACGTATGTTGAAACGTTGTTTTGTAATTTATACACATTTTGGTTACGTTTGCTTGTGTAAGCTATGCTATTTAAGAGTAGGTCTGAAAGAGTATCACCAGGCTATTCAAGTTAAACTATATGGCGTTATGAATGAGAATACAAACTTTAAAATTGAAGTTAGATACAAGGAGCAAAATTTGATTGTTGGAGTATCTTCTTTATGTGACAAATACAACAAAATATAAAAGCGATACTCTACACTTATTTCTTTTCTCTGTGTCACCCTCTCTGTTTATTTCTCCCGAATACAATGAAGACTAATAACTGATCGATTGTGTTCACAATCTGACTCACACACAGACAACCAGTATACCCTGAATGAATAACTTACATACCTCAGTGTATGATTTTCTTGCTGTATGTATGCCACGATAACTTTGACGACGACGTTTAGCATCACGCATCATAGACAAAGCTTCTAATTTGGATACATCTTGTGATGAATTATTTGCTGCGAGAAAATAAAGAGTAGAGAATTTAAAATATAAAATAATGAAAAGATTGTTCTGACTTAACATTGTACCGTCATTGAAGGTTTTCAACGATCCAAAACAGTTTCTTTACAAACATGGTATATGTACTTTCGAAGACACTTGTTATACATAAAGATATTGTCACCAATTCAGGCTAAGGTGCTAAATATGTCTCTTGTGCCTTCTTAGATTACTGATCTACCTCTCACTCTACCTAGGCACTTTTTGTTACACAAATAGGGTGCTGGAATATAAGTGGTTGCAACCTTATTTTTCTGATAGAATGCAACACACTGTATATATAAAAGGAAAGTCTTCCACTGACTTACGTACTTTAGCCGATATCCTTCAAATGGTTATTCTCTCTCCTTTTCTGCTTTCTTTATTCTCACATAACTTGGCTCGTCCTCGTGAAGCTTATCTTCTCAAGTATAGCGACAACCTGACTGTTTCTATGCCTGCCACTTCTCAATAAAATTGTTCCGAAATGAATGGCTTTCCACCAAAAATTAATCAGCAGTCCTTATCGAATGGTCTTAAGCTAATTTCCTCTAAATGTCAGCTTGTTAATTTTCCTTTCAGACACAAACGTGACTCACATCAACTGGTTCGTCCCCATGATTCTCCCACCATAGAACGAACTGAATTTGGAAATATGTTGAATATTGAATACTTTGGATTATGTCTTTCCTGTAATTTTTCCTGTTAGTCTGCAAAAGCATTTACTCTAAGCTTCCACGTGAGAAAGCTAAGACAATGTGGTATTGCTCAGTCTCTACTTTTACAGTTTGTTAAGTGTTGTATTCTACCTGCCCTTCTTTATTGCTCTCCCTTGATTTTTCTCGGGTTACTTAAGACTTTGTTATACTGCGAAAGGCGCTAAAAAGTGAGGATAAGGCGAGTGAGGTACCGTTACACCAACTAGTGTTAATACTGTTGTGGGCAGACACTTGAATTCATAGAAATTGGTGAATATCACCTTGTTGGACTCTGAACAACCTCCTTATACAAAACTCTCCTTTTAAAACCTATCGGGTGGGACTAGAAACAATTATAAGAGACCTCATGCTCAGACGATTAAGTAAAAAAACTACGATACTTTATTTAGCACACATTCTACCTAGTGAGAGGTGTTAGCTACTAACTTACTGTGAGACAGTAAGTAAACGACACTTTTTATTCTTCCAATCATTAATATATTGCTGTCAGTATTTCTATTAAGTTTTCATTTTAATTTTACATTCATATTCTCTGTTGACGACCTCGCCAAGTTTACTGGTTCGCTGGTTTTCTAATGTGTCCTAAGACAGAGGAAAGGAAGAAAGCGTTTAAGGGTGGGGCTAGCTACCCTCCTCCCAGAAAAGTCACTCCGATTAGCCGTAAAGACTTCAAAGCACAGGAAAAACATAAAAAACAAACCTACTTTTCGCTGGGATCGGAGAGACGAAATGACGTGAGCTGGTGAAAACCTTCACGAAGCCAATCAGCTGATGTATCTTTTTTCGATGAAAGCAAAAATAAGAATTGGGACGTAGAATGTCCACGCGGTGCACGGAACTGGGAAGGTTGCCAACGTACACAAAGAAATAAGAAGATATGGCATAAAATTTTTAGGATTCTGCGAGAGTAGGTGGAATGGTTGTGGACTATCGAAATTATCAGCTGGAGAGTCAGTAATCTGCTCCAGTCACCCAGATAACAACCAAGAGAACAATGAGGGAAAGGCTATCATCATGTCACCAACAGTAGCTAAAGCTCTTCTGCAGTAGGGACCAATCTCCACTATGATTATGACAGCAATATTCAACTCAAAAGGAAGGAAGGTTACAGTTATCCCATGGTAAAAACAACTCGGAGCAAGAAAAGAAGGAAGATTTCTATAGACAACTGCAAACAGTAATGAAAAACATTCTAAGTGGAGACATCAAAATCCTGATGGGAGATATGAATGCCAAACTGGGAGCAGACAATACAGGAACAGAACGCATCATGTGTCGAGAGACTCTCGCTTGGCAAAATGAATGACAATGAAGAACTCTTCTCAGGCCTCTGAGCCTTCAGTGATTTGGTAATCGGAGGCAGTGTGTAAAAGCACAAGGATATAGCTGAGGCAGCATGGATTTCACCTGACGGACACACCAAAAGCCACATAAAATTCATGTCAATCTCAAGAAGGCTGAGACGCAGCCTGCTAGATACAAAGTCGAGAAGGGGAGCAGATGCAGGCTCGAACCACTATATAGTTCAAGAGACCTTAAAAATCAAGCTGAAGTCTTCCAGAACAATTGGAGACAAACCAAAATTCACGCCAAACACTCAAAAACTGAAGGAAAAAACTACAAAAAGACACCTTCACTGCAGATATCACTCCAAAGTCGCAGACACTACGTAGCATCATTAAGAAAATCTGCGTGGAACAACAGGGGAACTCTCTGAAAATGATGTTCACGGAAACATATACAGCCATTTTAGGAAGAAAGAAGAGGCAAAGCAAGAAACGGACACTTGAGAGTTAATGGGAAAGGGGAGGATCGTGAAACAGAAGAACCAATGCAAAGATGGACAACAGAAGAAGTTGAGTCCAATGTACATCGCACTGAATAAAAAAGTGAGGAAGAGGGCTAGGAAAGACAATTCCACGACAAACTGGCAACTGAAGCAGAACAGGCTGAAGGCAAAAGAGACCTCAGAACATTATTTCAGATAACCAGGTTTTTATCCGAGAAGAGATCAACACATGAAGCTAACAAAAGCAGAAGTCTTAAACTCAGTCAAGCTACTGAAGACGAGGAATCCCCCCTGAAGCACTGAAAAGCGACCCAGAGACTGTGGCAGATATGCTGCCATCACTTTTGGAAGATGTTTGTAAGAAAGAAAGGGCACCCCCTGATTGGGAGAAAGACTAACTTGTCAAACTACCAAAGGGCTATTTAGGCCTCTGCAACAACTGGTGCGGAATCACACTGTTGCCCACGCCAAGCAGGTATGGGGCGTCAAAGGCAGTATCGGAAAGGCGAAACGGACATTCATCACTCTGAAATCAGTTTGGAAATCCCATGCACTTAGCATGTCTGTCTGTTTTCGACATAGAACTTTGAACAAATGTGCGCCAGTTCAAGTCGCTACACTCCGTGTAGCACGCGAAGCAAGAGAAGAAAGTACAAGAAAAGCATAATAGAGACAGTGAGTAGAGGTGTGACACAAAGGAGTAATAACGAAGAACAAAACAGTTTCATTGGAGATCATAAGTCACAAAGAGTGGATGCACCTGCGCCACTGAGAACGGTTTTGAGCCATGTCACTAATTGTTTCCAGCGATTGGATTTTACCGTCCCGAGGACCCCAGCCCGGAAGTCTACACCTTCCTACGTGGCTTAGACCAACTGTTGTGGATTTCATTGACTGGTGCCAAGTTTTTGTTTGACCGCCGCTAGCTTTTTTCCAGACTGACCCTACATCCGCTAACATAGCTCGTCGAGGGAGGCGATGACTTGGCATACGTAACACATGTCCTAACCATCTCAGTCTTTGTAACTTCACGACCTCGTCGATTGATTTCCCCAGTTCACCTAGAACTCGACGCCTAACTTCAATGTTCCTCACCTTATTATGCCACTTTACACGGGAAATAGAGCGCAGGCACCTATGATCAAAGACAGATAGTCTTTTCATGTCTTCCACTCTCAGTGGCTAGGTCTCACAACCATAAAGGAGGACGGAGCGGACTGATGAGCAGTACACCCGCCCTTTGGTCGATAGTCGGATATCACGTCTACGCCAAAGACGGCGTAAACTGGCATATGCGAAACTAGCCCCCTGTATTCGTGCTGAGATTTCGTCAGAGATCAACCCGTTCGGGCTGACAGTACTTAGCATAAGGAACAAAATTAGAATTTTCAACATCAATGTTAAGTCAGTCAGTTCTTCTATATGTCAGAAACTTGCGCGTCATGAAAAGCACTTTCAACAAATTACAAGCTTTTATCAACAGCTTCCTTAGCTCCATATTGAAGGTCGAATGGTCAGAAAGAATTGACAACAAAATACCCTGGGGAAGAACCAATCAAAAATTTGTTGTAAAAGCTACAGAATAAAAGTTAAGAATAGGCCTAAAGATAGGCGAAATAATAGTTTACACAAATGAGTTGTTAGTCAAAATAATAATAATAATAATAATAATAATTATTGTAAATAATTCGTTCCATCTAGCCAGTATAGGTTTATGAATGATACTTTGTGTGAAGACAGCCTATACATCACTTGGCTACCTGAATTTCTATCCAACAAAACCCATCAAATCTTCTCCATATCTTATTGTCTTAATCATTCAATTATGTCCTTAGGTCGAAAAATTTACTCAACCAGATTTTTAATTGGCTTTATACCTACTATTGTGCATTTCTCGAAGAAAGATGAATATAAGATATATATAGTACAGCACTGCATCATGCGTCATGCTATCGATTAGTATTTACTCCAAGACCCAGGATAAGGAGTAAATGCTACGCAATAAAATACTGTGAAAATCTTGTACAGCGTGTAAACATTTTGTATACAATAGAGCTACCATTATTATCGTTATAACTGTTTGTTCGTCTGAACAGAAATCAGGTTAAACTGGATACTAAATTCTGACTGTGATTCAATGGTAGAATACTCGCCAATCGCTCACATGGTTTCGGTTCATTTTCCGGCTGACGCACTCCTAAACCTCATTCAGCTGGTAATATGTCCAGTAAAGAGGGGAAATTGGATTTAAGGCTGGTAACCTCAACCGTTAAAAAGGCAGTGATACTGAAATTTCAAATTTGAAACTTGAGGCTTCAAAGTCCTCCTAAGAAAGCGAAGAGATGTAAAACTACTAATCAGTCAGTTGGTAGCATATCACCTCCACCCACATATATTAACCTATTTCATTAACCGACATCCGCCTGCAATGTATTTTACCCTGGAATTAAGGTTTCTCAAACATTTCAGATATGTCATGTCAGTGATTATCAGTCTAAGTAAAAAAATACTTAGTTAATCACAATATTCAATCAGCTGACTTTATCTGATTACTGAGCAAAATGGAATCTGAAATAAATACTGATTTTTTGACCGGAAACTAGATAGAAATTAATATCGTGCGTCTAATTCCATCAGTCAAGTTCGCAATATGACCATCATGCTAGGTGGCTCGCCATCACGATGCATTTTGAATTATGTTTTTATCACACGGTTGGAGGCGGTTGGCAGAAGGCTTTGCACCTAGGTTTCGTGATTGTTCGCGGTCGTCGGTTAAAAGTATTTCTAAGCTTGAAGGAAGAAACTCATGTCCATTATGAGATCCTAACTGATTTTATTGAGAATTACATACAATGACACTTTTCAATTTTTAAATCAAATATTGAACATCATAGAACTTTTACGCCTCAGTATAGCTAACAATTTTTCATAGTGACAAATGAAAATTACGTGGTCAGAAAAAATTTACAAGAAAAGGTGAGAAATGTTAACTAACTATTAAGGTCTGACAATAGCAGAAATGATTACTTAACCACAAGTGAAATAAATAGTGAAATAAACAACCGGAACTTGAAGCATATAAGCTTACTTTCAAGAGTTAGTTTGTTACTTCGTGGGATAGTTGAATTCCTTGGCAATGGGTTCATGCATGCGTTATTCTGGAGAGTTCCAAAGCTAGGACGAAACGGTTGTCCAGTAGTCTTTAGTATTCAGTGGTCCTCTAACTGATATCAATCCGTGATCAAACTTGTGATAAATTTATGCTACACTCTTATATAACCCATACAAAATAATTGCAAATACACCAATGAACTACTTACATGATCTTCGACCTGATGATGACTTGTCAGTATAGAATGCTTCCATATTCATAATCCAAGACGGATCATTCGTCCAATCTGTTGTAGGCTGAGAATAGTCAGTAGCGCACACATCGGCATTTGCAATCATAGCATTCTACTAAACGGAAGGTTTATTAATAAACAAATAAGTCGTATAATAATAAATCACATATTCAACGGCAGAAATAATATTTTAATGTACACTGTTTATGAAAATGCATAAATATATGGGATTTCGATGAACAAAGTAATACATGATATTGTTTAGCAAAGAATATTCTTTTTGTAACTTCTCAGCAAAGAGGTAAAGTTGAATAGGGTTTATAAAAGATCATATTCGCTGACAACAGAGTTCAAACATTGTCAGAAAAAAAGAAGATGGATAACACATAAAATTAATGTTCAACAAGTCAAAAAGAGGTCTAGGTTTAGGTTAGTTAAAAGGACAGGATAAATCACTTTCGCATAGAGTTCAGGGTTTCTCTTCTGCATAGCAAAAGCTCCAAACGTAGAACAGATGTACCCAGAAATCCTTCGAACAGCTTCGTCTTACCAAAAATATAGATTTGAAAGACTACTGACATGGAATGATGTGTAAGAACAATATGCCGAGAAGTTGGGCTATTGGTTGCCTTATCCTTATCGAATGCACGATAATCCTCCAAGAGTATTCTGCACCGACATGTTGTTTAGGGATAGTAGGTGAAATAGTTGAGTGTGTTGACCACTTCAATGTGCTGATTGTTGATAAGATTTCGGCTCAGAAACAAAAGGGTCGTGTAACATCTGTCAGCTTACATCATCTCTGACGTAGATGTGATATCTGACTATCGATCAAAGGATTTGTATGTACTGCTCAGCAGTTCCTTTCGTCTTTCTTTACTGTTCTGAGATATGGCTATTGAATGTAGAGAATATGAAAAGACCAGTAGCCTTTGACTATTGGCGTTTGCATTCTATAGACGATGTTCAATGGCATAATATGGTTAGTAATATTGAGGTAAGGTATAGGGTTAGGTCAGTCCATGGAGTTGTGAAGCTGCATCGATTGAGATGTTAAACATGCCAAACTATCTTCTTCCTCGCCAAGCAATGTTAAATGACATAGGTGTGGGTAGGAAAAAAGTCAGCTATAGTCTGATTAGAACCCGGCATCAATCTAAGAAACTTTTGGCTATTAGTTTGAGCCAAGCAGAGGTGTAGACTACTTGGCTGGGGTTATCAAGACGCTAAAAATCTTTGGCTGAAAGCTGTTGATCAAATCTTTCAAAATCGTACTCAATGACGCGGGTGAATCAACTACTTATTACCCCCCATTTCTATTAGATTTTCATTATTCTGTATTAATTATTTTCTGAATTTATGCGTGCTTCATTAGATGTGGCCAATTGAATTACTGCACCTTTGTGCATAGTTTTGCATTGAAAGCTCACTTCACCTGAGTTATTAGTTGACCCGATTTCTCCTCTTGGCAACTACATTAGGGCATGTTTTTGTATTCGTCTGGACAATGTATTGAGGCGAGCAACTCTAACTTGAAGTCTTTCGCATCACGACTGAACTATACTAATGATATTGTCATTGAATACAAATCAGCTTCATTATAGGCAAAGTAATCTGATGGTAAAGTCACATAATTCAGAACTAGGTGATGCTAGTTACAATTATATACGGGCTATAAGTTCCCCAAGGTTAAGAATAAGTTAATCTAGTTGTTAATGGAAAACCTGCATGAAACCTAAGTTGAAGAGATTATCCTGGCTGTCAACTCATACCATATCCAACACCAAAACACATATATATATATATATATATATATATAAATCACTTACTATTTCTTCTCTGAGATAACCTAGCTGGCGTAGTGAGCAGTAGTCTTTGTGTGTGGAAATGGATTTTGTGGGAACCCAGTGATTTTTTTCATAATAGCATTGTTTATACCTTGAAGCCTTTTAAGCGGAAGTAATAAGAGAGTGATACAAGAAAAAAACATCACTGATTAGTTATTTTGTACAAATATGCATGATGGAAGGATAGGTATAGTTAATAATTTATGTATAAGAGGGTAGAAATGAATAACTCAGTAGCAAATTACACCTATAGAAAAGATTTTGAGCCTGAAAATTTGAAAACAATCAAAGGGTCTGGCTGATAATTTGAACAACCATATTATTTGTTTTATTTGTATTTTTGGGTCCAGTGTGGTTTATATGACCAATGGTTCAAGTTAATTAAACAACCCGTGTATTTCGCTGTAACAAAAGTTAGTGTGTACTCACCCTATTGTTGTAAGTACTATTGTATAACTACTTCTGTAGCCCTGCTTATAAAAGATGCTATGATTCACTGGCACGTTTAACAATTCTCTACTGCTTAATGTCGTGAACAAAATGAGGTGTTTAATTGATTGTCTCACCACTACACTGAAAATTACACATTACATAGTTAATTAGAAGTGTATGAAGTGTTATAACTCATGGTTAAGTGAAACATCGACTTCTTAATTATGTTTCCAAGAAAGTAGCCAATTATAAACCCACAAAATAGGACTACGGCAAAAACAGAGATTTATACAAGTGTAATTACAAGTCTTCCATAGATCATTTTCCAGTGTAAGCTGATTTGAATACATTCAGTCTGAGTTCACTTTTTTAGATAGCATCAGAGGGTACAGAGAAAAGCACTATAGAAAAAGTATTACCGGTGGTTAATGAAACAGATATTAGTAAGCTAAATCTTCTTAAACTCGCATATTTGTCACATTTTTCACATTAGTGCACTCAAGTGAAAGACGACAGGAAAGATAAGGCAATGGTTATAGTAAAAATACTATTTATTTATTTAACATACAAACTTGGGACATTATGGGCGCGAAGAGATGCGAAACTTCGACACTTCTCTCGAAACGCTCTCATGGTGTGGCCACACGTTCATAGCATCTGACAGGTAAGTCGTATGCACGGAATTACGTAGCGGGTCCACCGCACAAAAGTCTAAGGGTGAATGCGAACGACTGGCACTCAAAACATGACTGACAGACATGCTGGTCTAGCTAGGGGAGATGAAAAACCCTGACTCTAAACCCATAGTGCACATGGACTCCAGAATCTGCCAACCATAGAAAGGCAGCTCCTGACGCCGGCCTACTGCCTTATGGATCAGATTTCATATCAAGGGCTTTGATAGCAGCAAAAAGGTTTCATAGGATATGGCAAAAACACTTATATTTCAAAAAAGCTAAAAACCTATGAATACTGAAGTTGGTTGGTTTATCAGAGTGAACAGTTTAAAATGTATGCCGTTTGATGGTCCTCAAGTTGTAGTAGTGAGCGAAGACTAAGCGTGTAACACCTTAGATACTTAGAGTAAATTCTCTTCTATCTTATGACAATGAAATTGATTGAAGTAAACATTTATTATTCAAGTTAATAAATGTCTGATTAACCATATGGGATGACTTGTTCATCAAGTCAAGGGACAATTTCAACCAGTGAGTCACGGGTTCGAACCTCACTTCACCTACTGAGGTTTGACGAACCAGCTGGTATCACTAGCTCTCACAGTGGGCGTAGTTGATGGCTTACTAAGTGGAATTGCAAGTGGCTGTTAGATAACGCTTCATTTCACCGAATACTGCTCACTTTCGACTAACATTTGTCACACGTTTGGCTCCAAAGAAGAAATACAGTGTGTTCCATTGATCTAATTTGATGCAAGTTTTACATGAAATAACCAGGCCAGTTTTCTCGATATCCAGCAGTGATCAAGATGAAGATTAGTGGAACTTTCAATGAAACAAGGAATTAAGAAGACAGCTGTCATGTACCATCATTAACTTAAACTATATTTCATCTAGTAAAGTGTAATTCTAAAAGACAAAATGTCCACCAGCCTATGGTTGTAATTAAACGGGTTAGCAGACGGATGTTGATGAAAATCATGCAAATGAAAAGTATGAATATGACCGAAAGCTGCTACCTTGACGTGGTGGTCGGGCTTGAACACCGCAATGACCTAATCAAGCTATACTGGCTGAGACTTATGTCTCTTGAGGTTCTACCATGCCAGGCAGGTTGTTTGGATAGCGGTTAAACAAAAAGCAGCTACCTCATCCAATACCATGATCCAAACAAATTCACAAAATTTCATGCCGGATCGGCCGTGGCCCGGATTAACAACGACCGCGCTTCCTGCTGCCGTGTCACAGGGCGGGAGTGATAAGTATGCTACTGAGGCACACCAAACAAAAAGAACAAACAAAAACAGGCCGCGTGTGACCGGCCTCAAGCAGTTGTCCCCTGGGCTCTGCGGTCACGCAACCAACTTCCACGGTGTGGGCAGCCGGGAAGTAACAATCGCCCTCACAATCCGAAATGCACACAAAACCTCTCTAATCCTCACTTATCTTTGTCTTCATCTTCATCTCTATTACCTTGCCTTCCTCCACTGATGCAACTCCTCTACTTGATGGCTCCTCACTCCCTCTTCACTCTGTGTCCACTAAAAACGACGAAAGCCAAAAAACCACCACGGATAGTCTCCTAAAGCCACGCCACCAATTTCATATAGGAGCATTTAATGTTAGGACACTTTGCCAAATAGGACAACAAGCATCACTAGCTAAGACCCTGGCATCTCGAGCCATTGATGTATGTTGTGTTTCAGAAACACGCATACAAGACCCAAGTGTGGTTATTCACCTAACCCCACCTGGCCAACAGGATGAATCTTCAAAATTCACCTTGAGGGTGTCAGGAGATGCCACAGCTAGTTCACGAGGATTAGCTGGCGTAGGGATAGCTTGAGTACTAGGGCAGAAAAGACATTGCTTGACTGGATCCCGGTAGATAGCCGAATGTGTGCTGTCCGTCTGAACGGATCAGTAAGAAGGAGAAAGGACTGCACTACTCGCCGATGCCTTTTCGTAATCTCCGCCTACGCCCCCACTGACTGCAGTTCGGATGAAACGAAGGATGAGTTCTACCAAAAGCTGTCTAGTTTGGTGAGAAAGGCTAAACGCTCAGATATAGTCGTTCTAGCTGGTGACTTTAACGCTCAAGTAGGGAAATTGTGTCAATCTGAGAAGGATGTCGGTGGCACCTATGGAGTTCCGTGCCAGCGAACCGACAACGGTGACCGTCTCCTACAGTTCTGTTCAGATAATCATTTGTTTCTTGTAAGCACTAACTTTAAACACAAGGAGAGACACTGTTTAACCTGGCGACCCCCATCATCAAACCAACGCTGGACACAAATAGACCACATAGCAATAAGCTATCGTTGGCGTGGGTCGGTAGGAGATTGTCGCTCCTTCTGGAACACGTGTGTAGATACCGATCACGCACTGGTCCGGGCTCGTGTGTGCTTACGACTGAACGGACGTAGGAAACAGCTGGCGGTAAAACCATCACGTCCCCAGCTCGATCAGGAAACTAAATCCCTATTTGAGGAAGAACTAGCTAAACGCATATCTGAATTCGACAGCTGTGCTCACCCTGGAGAAGCCTGGAAGAATATTCAGTCAGCTATAGATACAGCTGTAAAAGCTGTGAATAAGGCAAATCCAAAGGTGAGTAAAAACCACTGGATTTCGACTGCCTCATCCGAACTGATAGATGCTAGAAGACTTATTCCGGCGAGCTCCGAATTCAATGAGGAGCGAAAGCTGCACAAAAGGAAACTTACTAAAAGTCTCCGCAAGGACCGTGAACAGTGGTGGGTGACAAAGGCGAAAGAGATGGAAAAAGCATCGGCGATAGGCAACACTAGGCAACTCTTTAGACTCATCACAGAATCGGGTGGGAGAAGGCAATTCATAAGTGAGACTATTTCTGAGAAAAATGGCTCCTTAATTAGCTCTCAGGATAGACGCCTTGAACGCTGGAAAGAACACTTTGAGGAACAATTTAACTTGCCTACAGCCACACTGAACCTCCCCGCCATCCACCACGTACCCGAATGGGATATAGACACTGGTCCGCCGTCTGTAGGTGAGGTTACAAAAGCTATCAGTAATTTGAAACGAGGCAAAGCGGCAGGACCCGACGGAATTATTCCGGAGGTGTTTAAATATGGGGGTGACATACTAGTTTGTAGATTAACTGAGGTACTAGGCAAAGTCTGGGAATCAGAGACAGTACCATCAGACTGGGGTAAGTCACTTATTATACCGATATTCAAGAAGGGAAACAAGTCCTCGTGTGATAATCATAGGGGGATCAGCCTAACGAACATAGTCTCTAAAATCCTAGGCTCAGTAATCATGCATAGACTAAGCAGAACTCGGGAGGAACAGACAAGGGAAAATCAAGCAGGCTTTAGACCAGGTAGAGGGTGCATAGATCATATCTTCACTCTTCGACAGATTCTAGAACATAGACACACTTTTCGGCGTCCAACAATTGTCATATTTCTTGACTTGAAGGCGGCCTTCGACTCCGTGGATCGAAAGGTACTATGGCAATGTCTGACTGTGAAGGGAGTGCCAAGAAAGTACATTGCACTAATCAAGGCACTCTATTCAAACTCACGTAGTCGTGTAAGGGCTTATGGGGAATTGTCATCTGAATTGGTAACAACCAGTGGTGTCCGACAGGGATGTCCACTTTCCCCATTTCTGTTTAACTTCATCATAGATATGCTAATGGAAGTATCCTTAACTGAACGTAGTGACTTAGGAATCGACTTGTTACCAGGGAATAATCTAATGGACTTAGAATATGCAGATGACATAGTCCTGTTAGGGGAGGATGCTGACAAAATGCAGAGTCTTCTGAACACCTTGAGCAGCAATCTTCGTATGTTTGGCATGCGATTCGCCCCTGCAAAATGTAAGATGCTGCTACAGGACTGGACCACGTCAACCCTAACTTAGTGATAGGGAGTGAAGTGATAGAACATGTTGACCACTTCACCTACTTGGGAAGTTGTATTAGCACCAACGGACTGATTGGCGATGAAATCTCAGCACGGATCCGAAAAGCTCGAGCTGCTTTCGCTGACTTACACCATCTCTGGCGTAGGCGTGACATCCGGTTATCAACCAAGGGACGTGTGTACTGCTCATCAGTTCGCTCCGTCCTTCTCTATGGCTCTGAAACATGGCCAATACGCGTTGAAGACATGAAAAGGTTGACTGCTTTCGATCATAGATGTCTGCGATCTCTGTCTCACGTTAGGTGGTTTCACAAGATAAGTAATGTTGACGTTAGGCGTAGAGTGTTGGGCAAAGAGGGAAAATCAATCGACGAGGCTATAAAGTTACATAGACTAAGATGGCTAGGTCACGTGCTGCGCATGCCTAACCACCGCCTCCCCCGACGGGCATTGCTAGCTGATATAGGTTCAGGTTGGAAAAGAGCCAGTGGTGGCCAAACAAAAACATGGCATCAATCCATGAAATCCTTGACAGTTAAACTGAGTCAGGTAGGGAGATGCAGACTCCCGGGTTGGGGCCCTCGGGACTCTAGGAATCAATGGCTGGAGACAATAGGTGACATGGCTCAAAATCGTTGTCAATGGCCCAGATGTATTCAGTCTCTGTAATCTTTCATATTCCTTTCTACCATTACCCATTCTGTTTCACTCTTATATTTGTCAAACTCTATTGATTCTCTTCACTCATCTTCTTGTCTACCTCTGTGTGCTATTTGGAACGTGGCAACTCGAACTGCTGCACTTCGGTGCCAAGTTCTATGTTGAATCTAGACAGACAGATGAATATGGTACTTTCTATGGGAGAACTTACATTCGAGATGAATTCGTTTGTCCACCCAAGTGTGGTGATCACTTCATTCAATAATCTTTGTGACTCACTGGCAGTCATTTATTTAATTAACTCCGAACGAGGTAGTTACCACTTTTGTACGTTATTTAGTAAAATATCTGTAGATTATAAAAACAGAAATGAGCCATTAGCGAGTCAAACATACTGATTGTGCCGCGTCCGCTACATGAAATAGCTGAAAGGATAAAAAATTGATGGTTTAAGACTTCAAAAAGAATATCCAGTGTTTGAAATACACCACATAAAGATTCACTGCAAAACCCTGGAATCATGGTTTGTAATTAAATGCAAATTAAAACAGTAAGGCATGTGACAGAAACAATAGTCCAATTGTATTTTTATGGCATCGTTTTTGCTACAGGCACTTCTATAGAGTGTACTGAAGACTACAACCCAAAAAATAAGTATAAAAAATTAGCGACAGTGTTACTTTTTGCATAACACATTTAATTTATATTGGATGACATCGTTGTTAATATCTGGATAGGTTTCAAAGCTAAAACGATAAGTGTTGGTCACCAAGACGATTAATGTCAGGAAGGAAAGACGTCCGATTTATGACGCATTCCCACGCATGCACACACTTAAACGAAAATGCACAGCTACAAGTAACAGTAGTGGGTCACTAGACTAGGCCCTCGGCTTCCATTCATATGGACCCATATCAAGATTAATGGCTGAAGCCTCTATGCAAAGATTAGAATCAATAGCTCTACCTATACTTAAACCGAAAATCGGGGCATAACATGTTATGTTGATGATACATTTGTAATAATTGAAAGAAATGATTTCGAGTATACTCACAGATTAACAAACAACATATGTGAAGACATTATATACACAAAAGACATAGGCCGGAAAATTCCATTCTTAGATGACTTAACCAAGAGAACTAACGCAGTAAATTTAGAAACGCAGGTATTTTTTAAAATTTTGTTTACAGCTTGGTGCCACACCGTATTTTCGGTACAAGTATGGAATTTTCAGCATGTGATATCGGTAGCCCAAATTTTGCAGGCCGACCAGAGATATCGGGTGTGCATCGGCAGGCGATCGAACCCCGGACCATGTGTATGGTCGGCGAGAGTCCTAACCACTGTGACAACGGCGAAAATCAATGCACACAGGCCAAATACTCAACTATAGTAGTAATAACCCAATTACTCACAAAATAGATTGTACAGACATTGATTAATAGAAGAGTTCAAACATACTGGGTGACTCTAAACTGTAGTAGCCCAAACAGAAACAACCTAGTGATAAGGAAAATGACCTTGACAACGACAACTTTCACCAATCAGAAGGCTCTATAATAATGGCACATAATTTTAATAGAACGTTTAAATAGAAGTAATGCAATGTTAAAAAATAGTTACAAAGGATAATGTCCTCATATATGTTCCAAAAAACCTCACAATCTCTCATAGGAGTCTTGATACTTGTGTTAAACCAAGTCCTGCACATACACTCATCGAGATAACTGTAAATCATTGCATTTCTTGATTGTGTGAGCATCATCAAAAGGATTGATGAAACCGTTTGTGTGGTTGACGACTTGATGTGTGCCTCGGTGGCACAGTTGTTAGGACTCTCGCCGACCATGCACATGGTCCGAGGATAGATCCCCTGCCGACACACACCTGATATCTATGGTCGGCCTGCAAAATTTGGGCTACCGATATCCTTGCTAAAAATTCAATAGTTTTACCAAAAATACAGTATGGAATCAAGCTGCAATCAACAAAAAATAAAATATAGCCGATTTGATAAGTGACTATAACTGTCCCACTCATCTGTATGAATAGTCGTCCCAGGCAACACTAAGCACTGGATAATGGGCAATAAGACACCTGCACTGCAATTAGGGATCGCTAAGTACTTAAGTCAGCCTGATTCATATGCTGTTGCTGATCTTTTAAGCATCCAGTTATGAGACATCCCAGCTAGCATTGTTTGCATTCTTAAGAATGCATATAATTGATATGATTGTATTATTAGTAGTTATCTGTCTAAATTAACGATGAATTCGTTGCGATAACAATATCTATTACTGTTTTTATATTCACTGTGGTCACGAACGATATTATTGCTGTCAAGAATCTTATTATTTGTCATGAAGCCTCTGTCATTCTTATTAAAATCTTTGTTCAAGCTTTGCAAACTACTGCATAACTTGTCGCTAAATAGTTTTATCATTTCATGATACTTTGATGAACCTACTAGATATCGACCAACGATAAATTGCGAAGTCTCCCAGGTTTAGTGAAAACTACTTAGCTCCTTATATCTATTGTTTGTAAAGTGATTACTTGTAAATGCTCATAAGGCAGACATCTGAAATTTTTTTAATAATGCTTTTCTTAAACCTTTTCAGACTTATGGAGAAACATGTACGTGCTGTTTACGCAAATAGAACCTACTGACTGTAACGGAGGACTACTCATCTGAATTATCTGTACATCTGAAATCTAATTTTTTTAATAAACAATTTTTCTAAGAATCTGTGTTCCTTCTGTTGTAATGCGACTGTGTTCCAGTAGCATAAGTAACATAAGCGTGAACTGTTGCGCTACAGGCGTTCAGTTTCTGCGTGAATCGTTTTTCCTTAATATTTCGGAAATTAGCCGGTTTCCTCACATTATCAAGTTGTCCATAGTCAACAAGGATTGTATTGTATCAACCGGAACAACATATAGCATTCACTCGTGAAATCGGGTGAGGATATACGTTATGACGTGTTATGTTTTCCGCGACTCAGGCTTTTTGGTCTTTCATTGGCTAGAACGGTGGCGGTCAATTGGATATTTGATTTGTCCTTGGTAGGTCGTATCGTGTGAGGTTTTGTGTGGTTGTGTTACGCGTCGTTTGCAAGCAACTTTGACCAACATAGATGTAATGTTTGACTCTTCTAACACTGTTTCACTGTTTTTTACACAGATACACTTCTCTTTTTGCTATAAACTCCCTCGAAACTGGTCAGGCATTATGGTTTCTATCAGTGACTACCATCCCGGGGGTGCCAATGCATTTATTGAGTTGTGGTTATAGGTACAGTATTTCCTACTTCGATATTTCTCACTCACATAGCCTGGTATCCTGTGTTTCTTGCGACAATCTGTGGCACTAATGTGCTTCGTTAACGAGCCCTTTTCCTAGAATTTCATCGCAGGTAATCAGCGCCAGCGCAAGCAGCACATATGTAAGAAGCTACAGACGCATTAGAAGACTTTCAAAGGGCGTGAACCTTATATATTGCTAACAGTGACGAACTTTTCCGCATACCAGTATGTGGATACGTTCATATGCGGGGAGGAAATCCACGAGCGAGACAATGTATTTTAGTGAAACAGCTTTGTGGGACTTTCATCTAGCCTGTATGTTTCGCTCTAGTATTTTTGTCCCTCAGACCACTAACAATGTATTATCAAATGTATTCTTGTAGTATGATTCGATGGCACAATTACTGGCAGTTAATAATATTATATATGCGTAATGTTCATGATATTTTCTGCACCATTAACGTGCTCCATATTTCAAAAACAGTGTAAATTAGGAAGACTGAACTTAACTTATACTTAACTCAAATATGGTCATGCATGTTAATTATGTAAATGCTTAATTTATGTAAGTGAATTTAGTTTGTATCACTTTTAGGAATGATGGGTTGCAATGAGGTCTGTCAGTTAATTAAATCCAGTGAAAGCAGATGTAGCTGCATTCGGACAAAGGCATCCGAAAATAGTGATGAGCGTTCTACGACTTATAATTGGATACATTTGCGTAATCAGTTTTAGAAATTGATTCTGCATGCAACAACAAATGGAGGTAAGTTCACTCATTCATGTATAACCATGCAGATATTCTTTTTTACAGTTTGTGATACCGGATAGATTTAATAATAATAATAATAATAATAAATATTCTCATTTTTTACATGAGGGACGCCAGTTTACAGGCATCATCAATTCGATAATTTTCACATAATATTAATAAGCATATTTAGTAAAGATAATATAATAATGTACATTTTTTCCCTAGCTATGTAGGTTACACCAATTGTATAGGCATGCATAAATATTGTTTTAATAATAATATATTCCTTCCTGTTTATGCAGGAACATACCTATTGTACAGGCATGGATAAGTTATTATATAAATTACACATAATTTGATGTATAATGGACTTACAGTTTGATTGTTCTTTCTGACATTAGAGTCAGTCGGAACAGTCTGCTATAAAGTCTGTTTGTGTAGCACATAAAGAGATATAGAAATATTGTCTTCGCATTAACAAAACACCCAGACATCAGATGAATGTAATACAGATATCTGGGAAAAATAAAGCTTGAAGTCAATTCTCTTATATAACTTTGTTGTGAACAGCACCCTCGGCTCAAAGTTTATTGATGTATTATGTTGAGATCAGTGATATATTTACTCCATTTTTCAGCAGTCTTATCGTAGTTTCATAACAGGAAAGAAATTTGATCGTGGATGCGAAAACTAGATGAGGTCATGTGAAGTTGTTTTACTGCATCAAATGGTCCTGAGGTCGATTCCAGAATTCCCCATTTGCGCCATCTGTGTCTGCATGGCGGACTGTGTTCTTAAGTTGAGTAAAATGTTGAAAACCAGTTGCTTCTTTATTTCAGATCATGAATACTCATTTACAGCATGTTCGCCAGCGTCTTTAAATGGTAGAATTGGATCGTTCCTGGAATTTGAGTGATTATGAGATAAAAGGTTTGGAATTAATCATAGCAGTTAGAAAACAGTTAAACATGCAGAGAAGTACTTTTGATTCAGCAACCGGTGAATTTTTTATTCTTTTCGATCTGGTAACAGAATAACCGCGAACCATTCCATTCAAGATGTCGAATAAGGCATGCAGGAGTAGATCATTACCGTCGAATGAATCAACTTGTTCTGAGATGCAGCTTTCAGCATGTTTTCGTCAAATCATAGATATCCAGGTTTATTGGCGCTGTAGAGGCAGTGATTTGGATTATGACGTATTCTACAAAGTCTCCGTGCCCATTTGAAGTATACATGTGCTTTGAAAGGATGTGGACATAGAGTTCTGTTTACTTGAATTTCGGAAGGAATCAAACGTGACGGAATACGGACATTGGGCAGTTTCCGTCGAATAATGGGAGATACTTTCCAAAAAGGAGGGAGGGTGGCGTTAGCTGATCAGTAGATATGGTGGGGGTCACTAAGGTTAATCGCCCCATTCTGCAGGAACAGCAATATACAAATTAAAGGCTCGAGATATTTCTGATTTTTATGAGGGCTTAGATCTTTATCTTGAAAAAGATAATAATGAACGCCTTGACAGATCATGCTTCTACCTCTAAATATATACTATTCGCCCAGCCTATTGTTGAGATGCGACCATGTGGGCTCTGCACAGATTTATGGGGCATCTTATAAACTAACTTGCTGTCCATTGACTGATCTTTAAATACCACTTCACAATGTCTTATCTCATTCATTTTCCAATAACGTCTTTACTTGATCCTCATTATATCCCATTAAACCTAACATTTTACAGCTCTTTATGACTTATTATATTCCTACTCTCTGAAGGGTACGGTTGTACATTAAATGCACAAAAAGGTATAAAACAAAACAACTGGCACAACTGAGGATAAATGTATTAAAACCAAAAGTGGACATCATGATATTACGAGATATACGTGTAGCATTATACATTGCAAATGAACGTTGTCAGCCTAGGGAGTTTTCTTTTTTTTAATGCATTTATTAATGATACTTGTACTTACCTATTTCATTACAATTTAATGATTCACCTCAGCACTTTTACTTTTCTAAAACAGAATTCACTCCCTTGTAAAAGTTGTACTTACCTCAATTTTGGTTGGTTATCGTATGCCGACAGCCACGGGATGAAAACGAAACGAAGTCGATTTTCCCGCTCAAACTGGAGGACAATTGTGCAATTCAGTAACTATACAGCCTAGTTCAGACAATGTGTATTTATATATATATCAAATATTTAACTGTTGAAACATTATTAACTTGTAGACAATCTACGATTTGATATCATATCATACTTGATCGTGCCTGTAAAAATGGCATGCATTTTCATGCAAATTTATATGATAGAGAAGATTTGTAGCTCAGGTGGATAATTTTGATGTGGTTTTGTTCTCTGAGCTGGATAGTTAGTTTGCGAAGCTTTCATCACCTTACTGGGTGGCATCTTCAGCGCATACTTCAAATTGAAGTGAGCTTTTAGGTTTCTCCACGAGTTTATTAATCATTCCTCCTGGTGACCTTG